GTGGGTCTACACAAGGGGCCAGGAAAGGGGAAGACGAAAGGAGGTGGTGGAGGATCAGACCATTGATTGATAAATAAATCATAATGATAATCAAAATCGGTTGAACCAGCAGAGCTTGCTGCAGAAAGTTATGATAATAGATTATTATTACTACTACTATACTCCGTATTAATTGCGCTGCTTTACGAGAACGAGCAAGCATGACCAAATAAAATAAAATAAATAAAAGGGGAATGAAGGAATAAGGAAAAAAAATATTATTTTTTATTTACTTGTCAAATCAATATCATGCCGGTCATGAAAGGAATAAATAGCATTTATACACGTGCCGACAACACCCAGGTGGGTAGAAGAATGCCTCGCCAGCCATCCATCGTTCATCCATCCCATCCCAACCCAAGAAATAGAAGATGTATGTACAGGACATACGTAGTTCCATCTATGAACAGATAGAAGAGAATAGAATATAAGAAACAAGGAAGTAGAAAAAAAGATAAATGGAAAGTATGCTTGGTTCATGGCAAATCAAGCGCGCACATCAACCCTGGTACTCCCCTCTGCAACGGCTCTGGCTTTTCCTTTACCCTTATCTCTCCTGCTGCTACTGCTGCTGTCGCCGTTGGCAGCGGCGGGAACCCCGGATATTTCTCTCATCCGGCGGATGGCACGGCCAAAGTCGACTAGGTTGTAGTCGGCAGGCATGTGTTCTCCGCTCACGATGCAGAGCACTTTCATTCCGGGCTTGTACACCAGCCCGCTGAGTAGCTTCGGAGTGATGAGGAAATATTGACTGCCACCAGCGCCACCAACGCCGTCACCGCTGCTGTTGGCGGTGCGAGGTGCGCATGCGATATCGACCATGCGCTCGTGCACCATACGCTCATTCCTCGGGTCCATACCCTGGTTGATCTCGTCGACCACGCGGAACGGTGACGCGGAAAGAGATTGCAAGGCCATCAGATAGAAGATCGTGCTGACCGCGCGCTCACCGCCTGACTGCCGGTGGGAGTCGAGAAGGGAGAGATTCTCATGCTCGCGGAATTTGACTAAAATCTGAATCGACCATTGGTCAAAGTCGCTGCCACCGGGTTCCCCGTTGGGCCCCGGCGGATCTTCCACCTTGTCGATCCTGACCTGACCAGCACAGCCAATGCGGGCAAATGAGTCCGAAAAGGCATCCGAGATCTTTTGCACCAGGGCATCAAGCCTCGGTTCCCACTGCCCACGGATCTCATTGATCGCGTGCTCGTAGTCCGCAAGCGAGCTTTCATAGCCTGCCAGCTTCTCCCGGAGCTTTTGGATCTGACGCTCGCGTTCTTCGAATTCCTTGAGGAGGTTGGCACTGCCCCCCTGTGTAAGCTCGAGACGTGCTTTCTCTGAATCGATATTTGCCTCAAGCTCATCTAAACTGAGTCCCTTCACGGTGGTGTCAAGCAATTCCTTCAAGTCCGGTTGGCTATTAGAGGCTTGCACCACTTTTGCTGCTTCCTCAGCCAACTTGCGGCCAATCTCCGAAACGGTTTTCAAATGCCGCACAGCCTCCTTGACCTCTTCACGTTTGGCCTCCAAGGTTTCTCGGACTTCGGAATTCCTCTCTTTCAACGTTTCAAAGTCTGACAACGCTTCGATGTGGCGAATCTCGGCAATAACAAATTCCTCGTGGATTTTATGGAGTTTCTCAACAGCTTTCTAGAGTTGTTGTCAGTATAGAAACTCTGATTGTGAGATCCTCGCAGCACATACAGCATATTCAATCGCAGTTTCAGCCTTCTCAATCGCAACCTGATCTTGCTTGCTGCGGATTTCGATCACCCGAGCTCTAATCGCCTCAAAGTGCTTCTCAACCTCCTTCTGTTTCAACCGTTGTTGATCTAGAGAATTGTTAGTCAGACAAAAACTAACTGAGATGTAGTGTTAATCATACTAAGCCTTTCAGGAAGAGCCCTGTAATTGATCAGAGCCGTCTGCTTTGCTGATTTCTCTTGTTCAAGTTCAACCTGGCCAAGTTAGCAAGTTGCGCGGTGCAGCAAAGTTCCTTGTACTGTACATACCCTCTCTTTAGTCTTGAGGTTGTGTTCTTCGCTCAGGCGAGCGAGCTCAGCCTTATCAGCATCGATCTTCTGTTGCACCTCACGGATATCATCCTTCCATTCCGCTATGCTTTGCAGCAGTTCCTGTTTGGCCCCCGCATCCACAGGCTGGTTTGTCCAGATTCTCGCCGGCTTTATCAGCCTGACGCGGGTTGATGTTGCACTGGGGCCGTATTCGCGCCTTCGGATAACTTGATAGCTTCGTTTCCCCGCGACCCAAGAGCTCATCGGTCCATTCTCCAGGTTCGAATACTCTTCATCTGAGATATCTCGGAGGGCCACCGGCGTCTGATGCAATCTGATCTCACTGCACAACGCAGCCAAGACGGGCTCTGGACCAGTAAGGAAGTCTTTTGCCCAGCCATCAAACCCAAGATCTCGGAGCTGCTCGTCAGACACAGGCGATTTGAAGTTCTCCAACGGGACAGAGCAGGTTCTTATACTGATATCATGTAGTTTCATCTCAATGTTCAAAGCTCTCTGAAGGGTTTTGAAGTCATTGCGAGTTTGCGTGGTAAAGGCCGTAAAGTCCGTTCTTTGCATCAGGGATTCAAGAGCATCCGCATATTTTGGGTTCTTCACTGAACATGTCACGATGGGTGGACCGAAGACTTCCTTTTCGAACTTATCTGGATTGCTCAAGATCCATTGATAAGCGCGGTAGGACTCTGGTGAGATCTGCTTGAGCTTGGCCTCCTGCTGGCCGGCTTGGGAATCCAGGCTCTTCAGCTGCCGTTCCGCCTGTTCAATCCGACTCTTTTTGTCCTGTAATTCTTCGAACAACGGGCGCCTGGCATCTTTCAACTCTTTCGCCCTGGTTTCAATCTCCCTTATTTCCCGTTTCTTGTCTCTCTGGGCCAGAGTTAGCTTGCAATCATGAAGAACTTCCTAGCGGACACTTACTATGCGCTCATTGTAGGAATCAATGTCAAACTCAACGGGTTCTTCTTCCATCTGCCGGGTAATGCGGTTGATGTTCTGCTGGATCTTTTTCAACTCCTCCTTGTAGTTGGTGCCGCTCTTCCTTTCTGCTTCAACTTGCCCGGCAAGATCTTTCATCGCGTCTTCATGCTGCTCCATCCTCTTTGCAATTTCGGCGGCGGCCGTTTCGGCCCGGGAAAATTGCTGCCGCTTATACTTCACCACTTCATCGAGCCGTAGGCAATATTGCTGCTTCGCATTGACTGCCCTCAGCGCGGGTTCCAATTCAGCCTTCAGTTGTTCCAGCTCGCGTTCGAGTTCATCTTTTTTCCTCTTTGCCTCCTGAAATTTCTCATGGTGATCCTTGTACCTTGGGATGGGGCGCGAGAACTCTAACATCTCGATGCGCCTCTTGATTTCGGCTCTCTGCTTGTATCTCTCGACATCAGCTCGCTGCATTTCCTGGCGATTCTCGAGATTGGCCAACAGGTCCCTGTCGCTTTTGTTGTCTGCAAGCAGTTTCTTCTGCTCCGCCCTCAGTTTCTTGAGATTTTCATGCCATTCAAGCATCTGCGGACCCGCAGCGGCTCTTTGCGTAGAATGAAGTAATTCCACAGGAGTGAGTGCCGCAAACTCGCTGACTTTGTCCTGGGGGAGGAACTGGCATAGGTTGTCAATTTGGATGGAGAACGATTGAGCGATCTTCAGAACCTGTTTCCGACTCGCTTCTTTCCCGTTCACAGTGAAGGTACTCTTGTTTCCTTCTCGCTTAATGGTCCGACAAATTACGGGATTTCGTTTGAATGGCCCTCCACGCGCAAGCTCAATCTCAATGGTAGCCTCTCTGCAGCCATGTTTCACGAATTCGCCGGGATCTTTCGCACGTCCAAGATGCTGTATGAGACAGATCAAATACGTTAGCTCTGACCTAACAACTATAGAGTATTGAAGGCAGTATCCCCAAGAGTACAGTTGACAAAACTGAGTAGCCAAAGTACAATGAGACCCAAATCTTACCTGTGGCCCCCATCCTAATCCCAGGCATATTGCACACACAAGAGTGCTCTTTCCTGTACCGTTTGGGCCAATAACCATGTTCAGCTTTGGACCAGGGAAAAACTCTGCCGAGGTATATGTGACAAAGTCCTTCAACTTGATCCGAACAATAGCACCTGGTTGGAACTCGCCGTAGCCACCGCTATCACCGCCAGAGGGCCCTTGAGATTTCGAAGACATTGATGGCGGAATAGATGTTGCGGCAGGTCCCGAATGTTGATCGCGTTGAGAATTTGAAGCCGACTCATTGCCGTCATCGTCGTCCTCATTTTCATCATCCGGATCAGCTATCTCATCTTCAGATGGATCTTCGACCTCGTCCTCGCTTTCCTCTGGAGGATTCCCCAGCTTGATGCGCTTGCTGCTGGTGGAAGACTGGGAAAGCGGCGATGGCTGTCTGCTCTCATCATCGTCGTCGTCGTTGGAGTCATCGTTCCGTCGCCGTCGTCGCCGTTGCGGCGGAACTGTCAAGGAGGGCATTTCTGTGCGAGATTCCGGGGAACTCGAGACGCTCAGAGAGTTTTTCCTCCAGCATAATGTGGCGACTGCTGCATCACCATAGTTCAACGATGCGGTTGCAGTATTTCCCCTTTAGGTTCCCTCAAACGCGACGGAGACGCGACTCCCTAATGGACGCGGCTGGCGTGGAATGGCATGACATAATCTTGCGCTAGTGTGGATTGGGTTTCAGCCTGTTAATCTAGCGCTAACTCTCAGCCGCCACCAACGCCCGGCCGGGCTAGCTCAATCGGTAGAGCGTGTGGCTCTTAGTCACTGCAAAGCGCAGTGGTAATGGGTCTACCACAAGGTTGCGGGTTCGACCCCCGCGTTCGGCTGTTCCTAAAAAAAACCTTGTGTTCTTTTTTTACTCGTTTCTAGTCAATTTTTATAATTCTAATTATTTTTTGTTCTTTTTTCCTAACTTCTCTCTCTCTTTTTCTTTTTTTAATGAACGGTTCGTGATCAACATCGGAAGATAGCTATGCAGCTAGATAAACGTTCTTTCCTTACGGAGTACGGAGTACTCCGTACTCCGTACATTAACTCCATAGGCGGTGTAAACAGGCAGATTTCACGCTTTTCGGCGCAAAGGTTCCGCTCCGCTAGAACACGCTCCAGCCGAGATAGAGAGAGCTCCTCCAGTACACATAAGGAGGATAGACATCAATCATGCAGTTGCCATCGCTTCAGACAGTGAGAACGTTCCTCCTCACTGCATCTGTCATTACTATCACGATAGGTGGGACGCTCTATGGAGCGGAATTGAAGAGCAAGCAAGAGGTCAAACAGGTATGGAGGAATTGTTTTTTTGTTTCCCCTAATGAATTGTTGTCGCATGTGTTTGTGAATTACTTTTCTTTTCTGCAACAGTTTTGAATTGATCCGTTTGCTGACATGAGGAAATCAAAATAAACAGGCAAATGAAAAACGCGAGCAAGCAACCATTGACGAGAAGATCGAGTCCCTCCAAACCATGCGAGCAAACCTAGTTGCCAAGAAGGCCACGGTGGAAAAGCAGCTGCAGGATCTTGAAGCGCGAATGGAAGAAAAGAAGCGGAAAGGCCCTGTCGCCCGGGGCGGCAGCTCGACGGAATCCTGAAGGACAGCAGCGGTCAAATAAATGGAGGTTGCGGGAAGTCTTTTTCACGGAGAAATATGTCTCGCCTCGGCGAACGAAAGCAGAATTTATGTCTGCCGAATTGAAGTTCACAATCGATCGATTGCGAGCTGCGAGAGGAACAAACCCCCGACACGATCACGGCACCCAAGGGGGTATCAAGCGCCGCCTTCGAGTTCGAGCGACAGATACAAGGATGGAGAGGGCGTCGACCGCTGCGTGTGCTATTGGGATGGCATTGCCAAGGGCGCAGGATCGAGCTGGCACTGCTTGACCAAGTTTGCTTTGGCACTTATGTGGTGTTCATGGCCGCGGACATCCATCATACCAGTCCAGTCTAGCAGTTACGCTGTGAGCCTGGAGCATGGATTCTGTCCCTATGACCAGTATAGAAATTTGGGTGGTATCAAAGGAGAGCATGATAAATGCGTCTGAATATGTGAGATAAATAATATGACCAGCAGGTCACTTATTTCCAAGTACATATCGGGGGTATTGTTCTAGGCCGTACGTGTAGATAGAGAACATTTGCTAGGGTATGTATTTGTATTAGATAGCCAGGATATAATTCGTTATTCATCACGACTGTCACAACCAGATAGATTTCCGCTTAATCTCCGGTTTTTCTCGAGCAACAGAGGAGCGTTCGAACTTTTCATTCTCGATCTTCTGCGGCATGTTCTGAGGATTCACTCACATCATATCACCATCATTTCCATTGCAGCTGGCTTCCGAATAAGACACGTGGATGTTGATGGACCATCTTCTGCTGCCCATTCAAGATGCCATAGGTAAGTCTTAAACCATACAATGCAATAATGATAGCTGTCGATGTACAACAGGCAAGCACGAACTTCTATTTACATATCGCCTTGTTCTTTTCCTCTCTTATCCTGGTGTTTCTTCCTTCATCTCAGTACATCTCAGTACGATATGCAACGTGACTGTCTCCAGGGCCAATTGCGGGAAATAATGACTCGATGGATGTTTCCGTTACGACGTCTCAGACTCTGTCGCCTGAATTTTGCTGCTGGAATGACAGACATCGGGGAATCGACTCCTCCTAACAGTGAAGAGTTCAAAATTCCACATACGGAAAGGCATTGGCCCTTCTAAATATCAACAGACAAAGCAGGGTACGTCCATCGTATCCCATAAGTAACGTACTTTTCTCTAGCCGACCCATTCATTCTATAACACAGACAAGGGTATCTCAATAACAACAAACGTACAGTACATGTCGTTTCACAAGCCATAAACGTCACGGTAGCATTGATCCAATTCAGGACAACTATTGCGGTGGCATCTCAGTCAGTACATGGAAGCTGGACGGAAACGAGAGGTCGAAGGAACCTACTAGACGGGATCCTGCCCGAAGATTATATGCCAGAGGTACTCCATGATCCGGCCACTGACATCATCCGGCAGCTCGGTCTCCAGAAGCCATTTCTGAAACCAAATGTAGCTGCTCAAGGGACGTTTCCGGACCTGAGCGCTCGACACGGCGAACTGGGAGCAACAGGGGGTGGCGACGACCTCTGGGATGTCCGAGTTATTGAACAGAGCGCGCCACGCATCGGCAAATGCGTGCTCTGCTGTGCGCCATTCGTCCCTAGGGTTCCGGAACGGTTGGATCTCATCGGGGCAACCGGGGATGAAGTTGCAGCGGAGATTGGCGTAGCCGTTTCGTTGGATAAAGTCGAGCTGCAGCATCCTCACGTTCAGCACATTGTCATGCTCCTCAAACTCGGTATGCCAGGCCCGTGGATAGCCGTCGCGATGACTGTGGAGGAAGACGATGATGGAGGGAAGGTTGTCGTAATTATCGATTATATACTGTAGATAAACGTTGCTTTCGCGTCCCTTGTTCTTCGGAGGACGAAGGGTTGCTTCCGGATCATCCACAGTGTATATCGCATGCTGCCAGCTGGGGGGAGCATAGTGTGAGTAGAGCTATTTGGCCCGACATTCATGAGAACAGAACTTACTCTGGCAACTCATTGATCACCCAATCTGTGTCTTCATCTTTCAATTTCCCTACAACAATGATACGATCGCCCGGAGTTATTGTCTCAGTGCTAGGCGAAGTTGCAGAGGGAAGTGTCTGCTCCGAAGGTGTAGGGTCTGGCGTGAATGGCTCTGGCTGCGAATCGACAAACGAGTTGGCCTTCCGATCACTATCTACTACGCTGGACTCTGCGGAACCTGTCGATTCCTTTATTCCTGCGTCTAGAGC